TAACAAAATAATTTATTTTTGGTTTAATAATATAACATTTTATAAAGATAATAATTAATTATTCTGTTAGAACTCAATGATATCTTAATTATATTTTAGATTTTTTATATTTAAATTGAAATGTTTATCTTGTATTTGATTATGTTTATCTGCAGTTAGTTACACAAATTCAGATATAGAACTTTAATAAGTTGTACTTACGCACAATCTACTTGCAATCTTGAGTTTTAAGTAATATGCATTAATAAACATTACTTTACGCATAAAAAATGGGTTTTAAGAGTTCGTCAACTTTATAATATAGTATAGTTTATGTGTTTTTAAGAAAACAATAATGATTTTATTTTTGAATAAAATATAAATTTGAAGATATCATAAAAATTTAAAAAAAAGTATATCAATGTTAATATCAAATCAACTATTTAAAAGTTCTCATTTTTTATGTAATTTCTTTAATTTATTTATTATTATTATTATAATTTAATTTAAGTTTAATAATGAAATAATTTATTTTTGGTTTAATATTATAAATTTTATAAATATAATAATTAAGTATTCTGTTAGAATTCAATGATTACTTTAATTATATTTTAGATTTTTTATATTTAAAATGAGATGTTTATCTTGTATTTGATTATGTTTATCTGCAGTTAGTTACATGAATTCAGATATGAAACTTTAATAAGTTGTACTTACACACAATATATACTTGCAATATTGAGTTTTAAGTAATATGCATTAATAAACAGTACTTTACGCATAAAAAATGATTTTTAAGAGTTTTTGTCAAATGTTTTATAATATAGTATAGATTAATCTATATTATAAAACATTTGATAAAATCTCTTAAAAAGCAATATGTATGAAGTACTGTTTATTGATGTATTATTTAAAATTCAAAATCACAAGTAATTTTACGTAAGTAAAACTTATTAAATCTTAATTTTTAAATTTGTGTAACTAACTGTAGATAAACATAATCAAATACATGATAAACATCTATTTTAAATATAAAAAATCTAAAATATAATTAAAATAATCATAGAGTTTCTAACAGATTTGTTTAATTATTATCTTTAATAAAAATTATATTATTAAATTAAAAATAAATTAATTTGTTATTAAACTTAATATAAATTATAATAAAAAATTGAATTAAAAAAATTATACAAAAAACGATAACTATTAAATAGTTAATTTAATACTAATATTGATTTTATTTTTTTTTAAATTTTTTGTACTATCTTCAAATTTATATTTCATTCAAAATAAAGACATTATCGGTTTCTTAAAACCACATAAAATCGTATTATATCGATAAAGACAGAATAAAAACTAAAAATTAAAATAGAAATTTATTTCACTGCATTATACGATTACACTTCTAGTATTCTATAAATTATATTATTAAAAAATTGTAAAAATAAAATGTACATGCTTTGTAGTTTGTAGTACAACATTATTTTATTATATAAAAAGGAGTAAAAAAATAAAATGTTTTTTGAAATGAATGCTATCCTCGTTGTTAAAAAATGAATGGCATATGTCGTAATTAAGATCCGATCCATGGGTATTTCATTCACGTTTCTTATAAATAACCAAACAATTCATTACCGGATTCAGCAAATTATGCCATTACTGCTAAAAGATGAGCAAGCATGGAGTTGGAAGGTCTGCGCCTCAGCAGCTTAAATTTGCAGCGCTTTTGCTTGTGCTACTCTCATCTTTCTGTAATGTTTGCTTCTCCGAGATCATCTTTGAGGAGCGATTTGAAGGTAAACGTTTTGCAAGTTTTGATTATTACTTACTTTTTGCAGTAGCTAGTTATTCTATTCCAAATGTAAGCAATCAGATGGCGATATGGTGGATTCAATCTGTTGTTTTATTAAACTAACCTATTAATTTTGGATGATCTAGTGGATATGTGTGTCTTTGTAGTTTTTATTTATTTATCAATTTATGTTAAGGATTTATGATTAGTGGAGTGTAGTAGCGAAGGTAATTTGTAGATTATTTGTGAGAAGTGTCTATGAAGAAGTTCATCTTTGTTACCTAGAACTTTATGGGATTGTATCTGTTGTTGTACATGTGGAGTAAAGTTTTTAGGATTTCCAGAGTGAAGTAGGGAATAGGGATGTAGAAAAAAGAATCATTTGTCGATTAAATCAAGGGAAGTTGAGATTCAACCTGTTTAATTAGTCAAATTGCTATAATTTTGTGCAATATTGGCACATGTTAAGCTCACTGTAGTTGCAATTTCTGCACATTGCATAAGCTATATTCTACTGTTAATGGAGAGAGAATTGAAATTAAGAAATTTGCTTAGTTTCTTAATTTCATTCATTAATCCATGCTTCTTTAGTTACCTTTTAGGGATTTTGAGGGCCCATGCCTAGTGTAGTATAAATTCTGATATGGAAACTGTAGTGAACTTTTCCTTGGTTAAGTAAGGTGGTGTTCTTGTATGGAGTTTTGAATCTGCCTACTTAAATATAATTGTCTGTTTTTGTAATTTGTGGCAAATAGATGGGTGGCAGAGCCGGTGGGTGAAGTCTGATTGGAAAAAAAGTGAAGGGAAGGCGGGTTCATTTAAGCACACAGCTGGGTCATGGTCTGGTGATCCAGATGATAAAGGTAACATTTCCCCTTTCACGTGCTTTGTAAAATTTGAAGTTTGATACAGATCGGTGGATTTGTTTTTCGAAGTCTTCTTCCATTAGGGCCCACTTCTAGTTCTAGGTGTCAAGCTCATGAATAATTAGTGTAAACTATATTCCAATACATTTGACAATTTTTTTTCTTCTTGTTGCATTAGATTTTAAATTTCAACTCATAAACTCCACTACACGGTACATTGCTCGATTATAAAACGCATCACACACATATCCATTGTAAAGGCTGATAGTTGTGACCTAAATTGTTTGCTGCCCTTATAGAATTTATCGTATATGTTGGTTAAGTACTTGAAGCTGGCTTCCTTCTTTTTGGATTTATTTTCCACAAACTTTTTAGTTGCAAGAGTACAAATTAGTTTGTTTCTATATCCTGTCATATGTTATATTTACAAGGGAATCATATGGGAATCCAAACATGGTGAACAGTCAAATCATGCTGCATTTATTTGAACAAAAGCCACCAAATTTGTGAAGCAAAAAAAATCTTCGGAGAATTCATATGTGAGATCTTGAATGGTGACCACTGAAACCATGCTGAAGTCATGCGACAGAAATTACCAAAAATATGAAACAAATAAAATCCCTGAGTTTTTCCTAGGAAGTTTTGGTAAACCAGTAACATGCTAGATTCCTAACAGAACCAAGTAATAATAAATTGAAGCTTTTATATAAGAACAAAATAAATGGTTCAGATGGATTTCTAATGGCCTTATCAATTCTTCTGTAAGGCTATCTGTTTTGTGTTTGAGAACAATCAATCATTGAGCTGTACTTAGTCAGTCTGAAAAATGGACTTGCATGTCTAGGCATCTGAAATTACTTAAATTACAGACTTTTGGATAATTCTCAACTCTCAGGTATTCAGACATCAACTGATGCCAGACATTTTGCCATCTCTGCTAAGATTCCAGAATTCAGCAACAAAAATAGAACATTGGTATTACAGTACTCGATTAAAATTGAACAGGATATTGAGTGTGGTGGTGGTTATATCAAGCTTATGTCTGGATATGTCAACCAAAAGAAATTTGGTGGCGACACTCCATATAGGTTTGTCTTATTGCATATTTTCTTCCCACATTTTTATATTTCTTCTGTCTCTCTCTCTCCATGCTGTTGGCATCACTTTTACATGACTCTTTTCAGTCTTTCTTTTATATTTAGTTTTGGAAAGTCAGGTGATTTTTACTAGGTCTTTACTAACCAATGAAATTTTGACTGTTCCAAAAAAAATATGGTGCCTTTACTACATTTGGGTCTAGACCACAACTTTGCAAATAACTCCATTTCATATTCCGGATTACAACCTGACATTCTTCTTCACTGATTTTTATCCTTCACTTTACCTCATTTGCTGGATATCAGACATGCCTCAAAGTTAGGGCAATCTAATGTTTTTTTTAAAGTAACCAAATAAACCAAACCAAGTCAAACAAGCCCAGGATATCCTATCTTAAAGTAGGGTGAGGAGGGGGTTTAATATGTATGCATTTCCGAAAAGACCCTGCTTGTGAATAAGGTTTAAGGAGCTTAGGTAGAAGCCCCAACATTCTTTTTGGTGCCTTAGCACATCATTCCTTTTGGGACGGAAGACTGGAAGAGAATTCATTTCAATCCTTTTGCTCTTTCTATTTTCCATTTGATGAATTTTGTATCCAGAAACGAAGAATTTTCTTCCCAGCTTCTATTTCAGTCTTTTGAACTTTCATATTCTCAGCTATTTTTTTGTTTACCAATTATTGCTATAACATCACCATAATATTGTTAGTATTTCTGCTGGTACAATTCAATGTACTTACTTTTGTTTGTTTCTTTTTTGGAAGTGTGATGTTTGGACCAGATTTATGTGGCACACAGACAAAGAAGCTTCATGTTATCCTTTCCTACCAGGGGCAAAATTATCCTATCAAGAAGGACTTGCAGTGTGAAACAGACAAGTTAACCCATTTCTACACGTTCATCCTTAGGCCTGATGCAAGTTATAGTATTCTAATAGATGGCAGGGAAAGAGATTCTGGAAGTATGTATACAGACTGGGATATCCTTCCACCCCGTAAAATCAAAGACGTGAAGGCCAAAAAGGTCAGTTACCAATGATTAAACTATTTCAGTTGACTATCAATCTTGGATTTCCTTTTTTGCTATTTAGAATGTTGGATGTAGTTTGCATTATCTATGGTAAGTTTTCCTTTTCTATTGAAAGTTAAACATTACGTTTTGAGCTACCATTTCAAGCAGTTTTCTTTACTTTTCAGCCTGCAGATTGGGAGGAAAGAGAATATATTGATGATCCAGATCAAGTCAAGCCTGAGGTAGGTATCCGATTTTATGCTTTTATGCTTTGTTTATAGTTTGATGTGCTTTTTGTTGAATGTTGTTCTTATATTATCTGGTATCCCAGGGGTATGATTCAATCCCAAGAGAAATTCCTGACCCCAAAGCTAAACAGGTCAGCTGACTATCAAGTTATTATGCATTTCTATTTGTTTCTTTCTTTTTTAGACTTCATTTTTTAGTTATTTTCAGAATTGGTACTTGAGTTGCATCTAAATATTCTATATCAGCCATGTCTTCTTCCCACCTTTTTCTGACATTGCTGTTTATGTATTGCTGTGAATTGTGAAGTAACTACTGATACTTCAGTTCATATCATATATCGGGAAAATCTATATCAAACACTAAATTTTCCATCAAGCTGATAACAATTTGCTTTTATAAAACATGAATGACAATAAGAATATGACATGTATTGCACACACTCTTTCTTTATTTTCATACATCCTCCTTTCAAAAGGAAAAGCTTGTTGATATGACGGTAATGTTTTTACTTGAGCAAAAAAGGGAACTGAGGTACTCTTCAAGGGAGAACTTCTAAGTGAACATAAATGCTATATCTTGAACAAAGTAATGAATTACTTGATGTTGTTCTTTCTCACTTCCTTTTTCCATTGTCTCCCACCTCTCTCCCTTGGGAATTTTCACTGCTTCCCAGGAGTGCCAAACTGCAAACACTGATAGACAAAAGATGTGGTAATTTATTGTGTAAGATCTTAAACACAACATGCCTCCTTGTATTCTCCGTTTGTAAGATTCATAACTGAGATGGATATGCCCATTTATTATTTTTAAGCAACAGTTAGCGTAACATATTTTCTTAATCGATGCGAAGTTTCAAAATTTTCTATTTTGTACCCATTTTAACCAGTAACCTGCTGATCTTATAACATATGATAACGTTTTAATACCTCTTTACGAAAGAGTTATGGCTAAGTGGATGATAAACTTGACAACCATGCCATAAAATATTACAAAATCAGCAGGTTACGAGTCAAAATAAGTAACACAGGATTTTTTCAGAACTTTGTTACATTGATGGTGCAAAAATTATTTGCTACACTAAGCAGCTGTTTGGTTGGTTTTCCATTAAGTTATGTATGGATAAAGTTGTCATATGGATTAATCTGTCTGGATAGATTGAGAATGTTTTTATTTGGGAGAACTTTTCATATATGGAAGGAGAGTGTTTTTAATCGGGAAGGACAAGTTTGGAATTTTTTTTTTGGCTTTATGTATAAAGCTTCCCCCTAGAAGCTTACTAAACACTCTATATCATTAAGCCACTACCCAGCAGTCATGTATAGCTGACAGAATAAGCTGTGAGTCCCATTAAGCTCATTAAGCTGTTAACAAACAGACTCTAGGTAAACTTTGTTGTATTTTGATGCTTTTTGTCCGATATTTTTTTAGAATCTTATTCATGTGTTATATCCAATAGCCTGATACCTGGGACGAAGATGAGGATGGGATGTGGAGACCACCTAAGATACCAAATCCGGCATACAAAGGACCATGGAAACCAAAGGTACGAATAAATTATTACTACCTTTAACCAATGGTGAATGATCATAGCATCATCTTAATTTTGAGCAATTCTTTTTTTGTTGCTACAGAAAATAAAAAATCCAAACTACAAGGGGAAATGGAAGATTCCTTGGATTGATAACCCAGGTACTTCATATGACATAGACCTGCATGTTAGTTTCTCATGTTTACTACTGTAATCTTAATATTTTTGAGATTAATTTACATTTTCTGTACTTGAATAGAATTTGAAGATGATCCTGATCTATATGTGCTCAAGCCAATCAAATATGTGGGGATAGAGGTTTGGCAGGTAAGGTTCCCTATCATAGCTCAGTTGAGGATGCTCTTTTCTTATCTTTACTATATTATAAAGTATTTAGCGAAAACTCTTAATAAGAACTCATTAAACATCATGTAACGATTATTGATGCAAATATCTTAAAATTCAGGGTTACAAGCTATTATAGGCTATGTACAACTTCTTAAAAACTTCATGATTGAACTAAATAAAACTAACTTAACACCAACCGATGAACTTTATAGATTTTCTGCATTTTTTTTATAATCTAAATATTTTGTATATAATTAAGTTTTTAATTAAATAAATTCTATAAAAAACGATTATTTTATTCTCTTTAATTTGATAACCATATTATATGTTTTTTCAAATCTTCTTGACTGGATTTTCAAAATTTTGATACGAGTCAATTCACATAGTATGCTCATACTAATATCTTTAATCTATACTATCTTATTAAGCAAATTTAGCAAAAGTCTTAAAGTCTTAAAATACTAAATGACCAAGATACCCTTTGTACTACCCTTACTTCACTTTTTCACCTTTTCACCCCCCTCCTCTCCTCACATACACTCACCCCCCTCACATACACTCACCCTCTCACATTGAACCCATTTTTTTAAATTATAATTTTAAATTATAATTTTAAATTTTACACTTTATACTCTTATAATTAGTTAATTAATTTACTTTACGTTCTTTACTATTAAATATTTCATTTTAAACCTTTATCAAATTAACATACATAATCGTATATCAATTAAAACATGTTTAAAAAATACATTTTTATTTTAACAAGTTACACCATTATAATTGTCTCATTAATACCTTCGAAATAAGTTCAATATTGAATAGTTTTTGACTTAATTATATTATTATATATTATATATACTGTGAAAATCTATACTATCTTATTAAGCAAATTTAGCAAAAGTCTTAAAGTCTTAAAATACTAAATGACCAAGATACCCTTTGTACTACCCTTGCTTCACTTTTTCACCTTTTCACCCCCTTCTCTCCTCACATACACTCATCCCCTCACATACACTCACCTTCTAACATTGAACCCATTTTTTTAAATTATAATTTTAAATTTACACTTTATACCCCTATAATTAGTTAATTAATTTACTTTACGTTCTTTACTTTTAAATATTTCATTTTAAACCTTTATCAAATTAACATACATAATCGTWTATCAATTAAAACATGTTTAAAAAATCCATTTTTATTTTAACAAGTTACACCATTATAATTGTCTCGTTAATACCTTCGAAATGAGTCCAATATTGAATAGTTTTTGACTTAATTATATTATTATATATTATAYATACTGTGAAAAAATATTTTTAATATTTACTATTTAAACTTTTATAGTTATTTATTTGCATATATACTATATATTTTGGGGTTAGACTGTCCAAATTGCACTGTATAATATGTTCTGAATTAATATGTTCTTGGGTTTTTTTGAAATATATATATACATGTATTAATTCAACCTTAATCTGAGTTTCTGGACAAAAAAGAGGGTAAGCGGTTGAAATTTCATTCTAAAACCCATCTTTTTTGGTCTTTTCATGGCTTATGATCTGTCAAATTTGTAGTTTTCTTTATTGGTTTTGAGTGTTTATCTTAAAACTCAAGTTTCTTGGTTCTTTGCTCTTGGTGTAAATCGAACACATTTGTGGAGTCGTTTAAATATGTTGGATTTTAAATATATTGGATTTTAAACTGTCATACAATTTTTTTCATCGATAGTCTGTAATTGGAACCATAACTCTTATTTATTCAAATTGTATTAATATGTAAAGACCAAGTGTAACCTATATCATCGTTAAATCTTATCTTATAAAACCAGTGGAACTTCAAAATCGTTAAAATTCATGGCTCCCGCCGCATTGCGCGGGTACACAACTAGTATATTATTGAACACTTACCCATGTTTATGAAATCTTTTAAAATTCAAGTTTACAACTTATTACTGCATATGAACAGCTTCTTAAAGCTCCATGTGTGAACTTCATAAAACTAACTCATAATCATTTGATAAACACGTTTTCATACAGGATAAACACACATTGAGCCCTACTAATATGACATTATACTCATAAAACTGATAACCAACTGGTGACACTCTCACTTTCTCAAAACCCCACAAGATCATAAAAGTATAACCGAGAGGATGGAGAATAAATCGAAGCATGAAACAGTATTTAGGGTTAGAGTTTCCATCTTCAAAATCGAGATTGATCATGCAGCATCGCATGGATACACTCTAGTGTACTACAAACTATATTTAGAGTTATCCAGAAATTGCTTGAATGACTGTTTGACTGATGCAGGTAAAAGCTGGATCTGTTTATGACAACATTCTCATCTGTGACGATCCAGAGTATGCAAAAGATGTGATCCAAGAAGTTTTCGCTAATAGAGAGGTGTGTCTCTGGATCTGCTTCTGTGTTACGACATACACAAATATAAATACATGCACTTAATTCACTTTTCTGCTCGAATATCAGATCGAAAAAGAAGCATTGGAGGAAGCAGAGAAAGCAAAAAAAGCGAGGGAGGAAGAGGTGGCTTACTGGACTCATTGCCAATAGACTCATTTTATTATCATTGATAGATTCGTATGTTTAGTTAGCGGTAACTATAAAATGTGCAGGAAGCACAAAGGGCAAGAGAGGAAGGTGAAAGGAGGAAGAGAGAACGAGGTTATGATAGAAGGCATCGAGATAAGGAGCGTTACAAGGATAGATACAGAAAGGTTTGTATATAAATGTGATGTCTTTTAGTTATTAATTCTATAATGATTTCTTCCCTGCCTGCTTGGCCTTGGTCATTCGTTGACCATATCTGGTAACCATACGCTAGCTTTTTTTAAGCTTATTGAAAAAGCGCCGTTTGGTTAGCCATAAGCTACCTTTTCGAAAAGCTACTTCAAGTAGCGTTTCAATAAGCTCAAGGGGTTTTTATCACTTTTTTTTTTTCCATCCTGTTATGCCCCATATATTTTTCCATTTAATTTTTTAACATGTTCTTTTAGATCTTTTTACACTGTCATGTTAGCTTATCAACTAGTTTTTACCAATTGTTGCGGAAGACTTGTATAGGCTCCATGAGAAAAGCTTTTTACCTCTTTGTGGTTGTAGTTTAAACTTTAATACTGTCTTTTTTTTATTCTGCCTATGAAACTGCAGTTTCTAAATTTTGTCAAAAAAAATTGATCTATCGACTAAGATGCTAGATCTGTTATTGGAATCTGCCATCTTGGTATTGTTTGATTTCCTTTCCTTCTAATCTAATCTAAATCTGGATTTGGTTTCTCTTACTTGCAGCGCAATCGCCATGATTACCTTGACGATTATCATGTAAGCAGAACGCTTCTTATTTCCAATTATTAAGTTGTTTCTTAATCATGCTGTATATAGTCATGTGCAGGTTGTTCTCTGTTTTATACATACGTGAATCTAAAATCTTAGGAGTTCATCTACTAGCAGAAAAATAGTCTTTTTAGGGAAAAACCATAGGGCAAATTGCATGAATATGTAACATACTTTGATTTGATTCCCATTTTGTGTGGAGTACTTTCATAACCTTCAGTTTAATATCTCAGATTTGATGTCTCAAACATTTAGACTGAAGTATGTTACACAAATAGGAATTGAACCAAATTACATTGTAGTTACATGCATTCTCAGATGTAAACTAGGTACTTAAATGTATGAGATGTCACATCTGAGGTACTAAAATGAAGGTTTTGAAAGTACAATTTAGAATAATAGGAATCGGAAATCAAATTACATTGTAGTTACATGCATTCTCAGATGTAAACTAGGTACTTAAATTCGGTTTGCCTAAAACCAAACATCGCCCATATACATATATCAGAAGAACCTTTTAAAATTCTCTTGGTATTTAGCTCGTCCGTTAGTTGGTAATAATTTGGAGGTCATAGTTTCAGATCCCCAATTTTCCCCTTACCAATTCAAAAACATAAAAATTATGCATCTTTTTCATGGTTATAACCTTAGGTGCCATTTCAATCATAACTTTGTCATTTCAATTGGGGATGCTCTCATTTACAGAGTCCCAATGTCCTGAAGTCTAGAGTTTTTAGCCTTCTCTAAAATATCGTTCACAAACAGTGTCAATTGGGATAGAGGTCAGATCTACATATATCATACCCCCCCCAAAAGCCCACCTCCAGTTGGATATACAGGGTTCGTTTGGTTTTCATTTAGTTTTAACGGGGTAGATTCTTGTCTTCCTTAATGCATGTTTGAACAATGTTTGCTCGTGTTGCAGGATGAGCTATGAGATGTGCCGATTCACGCCTTATTGCACAGTGCAGTTACCACGGGCAATTTGTTTCCTTTTCATATTTAAATTGTAGCGCTATGATGGTCGTACCATCATAATTGTACTATTGTCGGGTAGGAATCCCATGTGATCTTGTACGGTGCAGCTAAGTTGCATTTTTGTGGCGAACACTTGCTGTTGCAAATTTATCGTGAATTCTGAGCTCTGGGCTGGGTTGGTTTTGGTTTCTTCTTTTACTGAAAGGGTTCATGACCATAGCTGGTTAGAAAGGGTCCGAAATGACTATATTTTGAATTTTTTTAGTCGCCACTTGGCAGCTTCTCATTGGATGACGAACTAGCCGTTAAATGGGGTCAAGAAGCTAGATAAGAGAGAGGATGACTTGTTTCAAGGGAGTGTTTTAATATGAAACAAACCTCACTTTGTACTTGTATTATCGTTATAAGGTGTGACAGTGAAGTGAAGTCAAGTCTTAAACTGTACCATATATGCCTCAAACTGCTAAAAACAACACTGCGTAAAGCCATGTGATGCGATACAGTTTATGTGGTTTTTATCAAACGTGCTTCAATCCAATAATTATACAGCTAAAAATAAATTTGAGGATGATGTTTTCATATTCGATGCAATAATTTTTTTTCTTCAATACTTACGAAATACGTAATTAAAAACAGTGTAACGTAAACTTAAGAGTTCGATAATGAATCCATATATACACTTTCCTTTTACTAGTAAAATGTGTCTTCTGAAAGTATGGACATAAAAATGTTGATTTTGAAATTATGTTTTTTTCAATAAAATCGAATGATAGAACGTATTGTTTGTAGGCAATTTTGCTCATTTAACTGTATTTTTTAGAGAGAGAATTATAAGATTATGACAATAGGTGATAAAATAGTTGTAACAAGTATTTAACTTTTTGAGATAGGGGATTTTCTTTTGAGTAATCCAAATCGCGAGATCTATGAGAATCAATGTATCATGTGTTATTTTATATGATTTATATTGTGAATATTTTTTACTGTTTGTGAAATAAAAAATACCTGTAAAAAGTTTCACATTGTGAATCTAATACATATGAAACAAATCTATGTTAATCAATACATTAAATACTATATTTAGATGGAAAAAGTCACGTGAAACAAAATTTTAAGATAGAAGTTCTGACGGATCTCACAAATTTTGAAGTTCTTATGAAACATAAAATATTTCATAAATGACGGATAAATTTAAAATGGTGTATAGCAAAAGACTTGTATGAAATATGTAAGTTAAATGCTAACCCGTCTTGTATCGGATTATGTTTAGTGGCGGACGCAAGATTTTTGTTGAACGAGTGCATCTTTACAGTGGATCAAAGGTCCGTAAAGTTGTCTGATGTGTTTTAGCAGAATTCCACCAATTAGAGGGATATTCTAAAGTTTCTTGGTTGATTTCAAGATACTTTTTCTTTTGGTTGATTTTGAGCAACTTTTTTTTTTTTTTTTTTTCATTTTTTTTTCATTTTTTGGTTGATGTTCCTTGTATTTTTTAATATTCTAATGCACCCTTTTCATACCCAAAAAAAAATTGTACTTACGAAAATAAGTTGAGCAGGTGTACTGGACCCTATTTGGGGCTTAATAGATACGCCCCCTGGTCACGTTGCAAAACCGATTTTAGTGATTACGTCTAACTGTACAAATTGACTTTACTACAGTGCAAGTCCCTAAACATATCCTTTTCCCTTGGCCAACCTTGAAGTTTTCTGCCCATAGGATGTATACTATAGTCAACTTAAAAATCTCAATAAGCTCATGGTTTTCGTGAATAAAATTATGTGATATCGTGCATATCAAACATGCAAGCTTCATTCTAAAATAGTATGCAAATATGAACAAACATGAATCACTGAAAATAAATGAGATCTCATAAGTGTCTTAACGAGTATGAGTCATCTTGATTCACACCCCCCTGGTCGCCCGTTACTGGGTCGTGTCATTGTCGTCTGACTTATTGGTCAAATGCTCATCCCTAATTACTGATCATGAAACTATCGTATGTAAAGGATGCATTTGTCATTTAAAAACTGTAAACACATAGCATGCAATTACTCATCTAACAACCTCATACATGTAAATTACACTGTAACATGTATGTAAACTGAAATACCATGTATCCGTACAAATTAATCATAACATGCCAAAATAGATTTCTACATAGATATACATCCCATTGTAAGTCTCATGAAAACTTACTTGATAACATACATTACTTATTGATAAACTCCGATTGATAACCCACAATTCATAATCGTATAGTCAAATAAATGACCGGGTTTCTTGAAAAGTCAACCTACAAGTTAACTCACTTTGCTAAATAATAACCCTTAACATTAATTTAACGTCTTTATAACTAAGGGGTCGTTTATCAAACACTTACCCAGTAAGTGCTTACCGGTAAAATTTAACACTATTATGTACTTACCGGGTAAGATTTTAGTCCACTAAAACGACATCGTATACAACAATTTACCTGGTAAGCGCTTACCGTGGTAAGAGTCGTCGCCCTCACTTACAGGGTAAGACTCTTGATCATTGTCTCGCTCTTACCGGGTAAGATTCTTGGTCCTTACTATATTTATCCGGTCAGATAATATTACTTGGCAACCGCTTACCCGGATAAGCGTTTGGTAAACGGTCCCTAAGTATTTTAATCTTACCATCTTAAGACATCTTAAATATTCAAATGTGCTAAATTACCACGATTTATTCACCTTATAAAATTATTTAACTAATGCTAATTAAGTTATTTGACAAAAATAACTTAATTAATACTACTTAATAACCCCATTAAGTAATTGAATAAACTTCAATAAATAAATAAATATACTACTTAACTGAATTATATATAACTTGAAGGGTATTCGTGCAAAACAACGAGACCCATCTCGATTATAATGTTTCTTCTTATTATTTATCGATGATATAATACAATTTTATGTGGTTTTAAGAAAGAAATAATGCTTGTATTTTTAAATAAAATATAAAGATGAGGATCTTATAAAAATTTGAAAAAATGTATCGATATTAGTATCAAATAAACTTTTTGAAAGTTATTGTTTTTTGTGTAATTTCATTAATTTAATATTTTTATTATAATTTAATTTAAGTTTAATAACGTAATAATTTTTAGTTTAATTTATAATTTTTTATAAAGATAATAATCAAGCATCATGTTAGAACTCAATAATTATCTTAATTATATTTTAGATTTTTTATATTTAAAATGAGATGCTTATACTGTATCTGATTATGTGTATCAAGTTAATTACACGAATTCAAACGTGAAAATTTAATAAGTAATAATTATGCACAATCTACTTGTAATCTTGAATTTTAAATAATATGTATGAATTAACAATACTTTATTAAAAGTTTTTGTTAAATACTTTATCATGACTAGAAGGGTACTCGCGCATGCAGCAAGATGAAAAATCTCCATTTTAATGTTTAGCTTTTATTTTTTCTCTATCGATATAATACGATTTTATGTGGGTTTGAAAATACGATAATGTTTTTATTTTTGAATGAAAGATAAATTTGAAGATAACATAATTTTTTTTTAAAATAAAATCCATATTAGTATCAAATTAACTATTTAATAGTTCTCATTTTTTGGTGTAACTTCTTTAATTCAATTTTTATTATAATTTATTTTAGGTATAACAACAAAGTAATTTATTTTTGGTTTAATAATATAATTTTTATTAAAGATAATAATTAAACATTCTATTAGAAACTTAATGATTATCTTAATTATATTTTAAATTTTTTATATTTAAAATAAATGTTTATCCTGTATTTGATTATTTTTATCTGCAATTATTTACACGAATTTAAATTGAAGTTTTAATAAGTTGTATTTACGGAAAATCACTTGTAATCTTGAATTTTAAGTAATATACATCAATAAAAAGTACTTTATGCATAAAAATGGTTTTTTAGAGTTTTCATGAAATGCTTTATAATATAATATAGATATATTATTTATTTAGAAATCAACTTAATTAAATTGATAATCATTGGTCCATAATTCCAGCAGCCGGGCATCGGCCCAACCAGCCTCGAGCTCAATGCGGTTGGTGGGCCCGATGACGTTGGCAGCCCCTTTGGCCCTCCCGACCCGATCCACGTTTTTGGTCTGTTTGACTTTGTTTCTTGACCATTTTACGTGATTATTTTTGCAAAATGTCAAGTAATAAGATTCCTTCCTCCAGAAACAAGAATCAAACAAAACCGTTAAAAAATGAGTCTCCAATTTGATCATGAAGTTTTCGGTTTTCGCCGAAAACATCGTTTTAATCCGTTTAATTAGTCGAAACGATGACCTTTCAGCCATTCGTTTGGCTCCAAATCGGATGTGGGGACTTTGGTAACTAAAACAAACATTACTCTATCAAGATATTCGAGAGTGGTTGGGAGACTTACCTCGATTTTAAGATAAATGATGAGTTATGCGCTTTCCTTCGACAATAGATAACCTTCTGTTCTGAGTTCCAAACCTGACGCCTCTAATGGCCGATTTCTCCCACAAGATTTCTCTCTCAAACTTCGAGTAGGGCTAACAATGGCAAGTGCCAATTTTTAAAAATCCACCACGAAACTGTTGGTGTCAACTATTTGATTTGATAATAAATCAAAAATATCTGATCCAACACCTAAAGATATTTTTAAAGTCTTGTATCAAGATCCAACTATAGAATAACAAAACAGTTCAGATTGCCTCCTATATCCGAACTGTAATACAGCCGGTTGTATCATCAGGATTTGATAAACGAATTCATTCCGAATTTCTTAACTAGATTTTATCATCCAAATTTAACAATAGTGGGATCTAACATCTGAGTTTGTTATCCGGACATGTCCTCCAGATTCTTAATCCGGATGTGTTGGTCCTAGAATTGTAATGACTAACACAAAGAGTGTTTGAAGAAATGGGGTTGAATACAATCACAACAAATTTTCACTTTTTGATTCTATATTTTTATTAAAGACAAAGAATTACTGATTATTGCGGAAGCTAAGGAGGTAAGACCTGATTCTAAATAATGTGACTGGTGACAAATTTGCTAAAGATTGAAAGAGTAAATGAAGAAGGTATCTTTTCAGATATGAATAAATGATATAGTTCTGTAGGTGGTTGGCACTAATTTTTCCTAATAAACTATCACTTAAAATTCCTTTCAAAACGGGTAAGTTGCAACATACAACGAAGATGGCCTTTTATAGGCATCATTCATTAAATGCTACATTCCAACTTTAATCCGTGTCTTCTTCTGATTTGCTGATTAGTGCATGCTTATACTCCTCATTTCAACATTTGAAAGTGATGTAAACGTTTGTTAACACAACACATCCTTCTGTATGCAGAGGGAACACTAAAAGAAGTATGA